AAGAAATGCTTCCCAGTGGATTTTAGGACTGGAATTGCTATTTTCAACAGCCATTGCCTTTTTTTTTTTTTTTTTTTTTTTTTTTTTTTTTTTGTTTGAAAGGAAGACAGTGATATCGCATTGGCAAATTCCCCACAGAAACAAAGAGTGGAACAAAAGAATAATAAAGGCACCTCAACTTTTCCTCATTGATGGAGGACAGGCTTATAATATGCATCCAGATATCCTCCAATCACACAAGCTGAAAATGGTTCCACTTTACTGCAGTTCTGTTACCATATGGGAACCAATCCTGTCTGTGTTCTGTGCACATCCAAAATTCCTGCTGAATGACCTGCCCTGGGAGCAAGTTACCAGTGACCCAGGGCTGGGGCGGATGGAAGGTTCAGGTAGAGAGGGGGAGAGTCCAGGGCTGGTGTGGCACAGGGTGAGGCTGGGGAGAGCCCAGGGCTGGGGCGCAGGGGGTGTGTGGGAGGGAGCAGAAGGGAATGGGGGGGAGCCATATTTTTTTTTGCTTGGGGCGGCAAAAAACTAGAGCCAGCCCTGCACAGACCACACCACCCCGGGTGTGTCTGAAAATAACACACTGGGAGCACGGTGTGGGGGCTGCGTTTTTGCCTCTGTCCCCCTCCAGTCTACCCACACACACCCTTCCCTCGCAGTGCCCGCACTGACACATTCCCCCATTCCAACCTCAGTGCCCTCAGCCGCACAATCCCCCCCCCGATCCCTCCATCTTGCATCAGAGCACCCCAACCCCCATCCCACCCTGCCCCCCGCATCCCCAGCACCCTCCTCCTTCCCCTGCAGCCCAGGTGTGCTGGGGCAGGCGGGTTTCTCTCACCTTCCCTCCGAACGGGGCCCCCTGGGGCAGGGGCCGGGCCGGGCTGGGGGCTCTGCCCTGGGATAGGCTCCTGGGGAGCAGCGGGAAGGGCCCTGCTGGAGATTCCCCTCTCCCGGCTGCAGCCAGGGCTCCGGGCTCCCAGCACCAGCCGCCGGGGCTCGGGGATCTCGCCAGGAGCCTGGAGCCAGAGTCACCGCAGCGGCTGCGAGTCACTTCCTGCTGCCGGGCCTGAGTCCAGCGATCGCTCCCCCCAGAGCCGCCTCCCAGCTGCTCCTGGGTCCTAGCGATCAACCCAGTGGAGTGCACCATCTCTGTGTCCGGCTCCTGTTACACTCACAGACTCTATGGTCAGAAGGGCCCATCATGAACATCTAGCTCACGGATTCTCACGACCAAATTTGGTGGCCTCAGAGTGTGGCCAGAAACTCCTACTGCTGGCCGCTCTGACACTTTCCCCTAACATCCTAACTAACTTTACGAGAAACCAATAAATATGCACAGAGGTAAGCGGGGGAAACGGTCTTACTATTGTGGGGAACTCTTCTAGCTTGTACGCCACCCTGATAGAATCGAATAGCAGAAGGAGCTGAGTCCTCGCTCCCACTCCCTTTATCTGGAGACCTGCCTGACCTCGAGGACTCCCCTTCCACTCTGGTGTCTGAAACCCCGACAAGGCTGGCCCCAAGGTCCCCCCGTTGCTCTCCCCAGTTGCTCACCACACCCAGCTCCAGACTGCTCCCGACCCAGCTTCCCTCTGCATCAGTGCTTCTGCTGCTCTGCCTCCAACCCATCTCTGGGTGCTCCTCTACCCTTAGCTCTGCCCTTCTCTGGCAGGCAACTCCAGCTCACCCAGAGAACGGGCACCTGACTCCCTCATTGGCCTGCCTGCCCTGTCAACGAGGTTGATCTAGTGCCTTTGCCTCTCTCCATTCGCCCTGGGGCTAGTCTCAGGGTTTTCATTTCTCATTGGCCCTTCCTGTCTTTTCGTACTGGGAGAAGCCAACCAAACCCCCCCCACTAAGTTTCAGTAAGGGGCCAACAGTCATGGAGTCAGGCAACTTCATGGTGTGTGTGAGCTCCAAAGCATCCTGCAGGTGAATTATAAATGTATTTGTTTACCCCTTCCTTCTTGTTAGTGATGGACGGCCCGGTAAGAGTTTTCTAACACCCACAGTTGGCCCTTTGTCATCTCTGAGGATTTTGAGTGGGACAATCCCCAGAACTATCACATATTTCAGTAACAAAACTTTGACATATGTCTGGGTCTTTATGGACAGATCCTCGTCTTTGAGCCTGCTGAGCGGGTTTTGCCATAACAGCAAATGTCCGGGGGTGTTTGCAGAGCACAAGGGCTGAAGCTCAGACACATCCCTGATTAGTCACCTTCCCAACTAGCCAATTGCCCTGCATGCACAGCTGATTGATTGCTGCCAGATCCAGCCCACCCAGACCCAGACTCCCAGCCCTGAGGGGGACGTCCCGCAGGTTTGCGCTGACTGACAGCTGTTGCCAGCACCCTGCCACTGTGACAGCGGCCAACACCACCCTCACCTCATGAGTACTCCCACAGCACCCCCTCCAGCACCTCTAACTCTACACCCCCCGTCAGCTCCCGCCCCGCATTAATGTCCTCTTTTCTGGCACCTGGAATATGGTCAGCCTAGCAACAAAAATACATTAAAATCTCACCATTTTACATGCACTGGTGTCACACACATTTCAATGCACAATATTCAGCAGATCATGAGTTTTCCAATGATCCCTCACCAGGCACACTTTGCACACAAAATATCATAACCATACACAAGTGGTGAACATGGGGTGCAGAGGTTATCACAAGACACGGTGGGACATGGGGAGGGTGGGACCTGCTTGCTGTCAAGGGCCGTGAAGGCAGGCTGGGAGAGGAGCCCCTCTGCAGCTTTGGCCCAGGTCCACTGGAGTTGCTGGGGAAAGGAACAACTCCCTCACCCCAGCCCAGGACCACAGGAGCTGCCACGGCTGGGGAGAGTTTCCTCTCACCCAGTCCCAAGCTGCTGTGGTGAGAGAGGGCTGGGGGCAGTCCTCTCCCCACCGCAATCTGCACCCCAAAGCCCTCACCCCCACCCCACAGCCAGCACACCTAGCCAGAGCCCTCAACCCTCCGCACCCCATCCCTCTGTCCCAGCCCTGAGCCCCCTCCCACACTCCCAACCCCTTAGCCCCACCCCAACCACATGAATTAAGTTCTCTGCACCAGTAGCTGGCTAATCCCGATCACACATCCTCGCGTAGCCAAAACTTCAGAGGCTGATGCTACGATGCCAGAGGTGGGATATCCAAGCCTCTGACAAAAGGTCCTGTGGGAATCAGTCCCTCTCAGTGGTATGGTCTGAATGCGCTTATCCCAAACACTCGATACCTCAGCACCCAGTTCCCCCGATATCAAGCTCCACCAGCCCCAGCCATTGAATCCCCAGAGATATCCACAGAACCCAAAGTCCTGGTCCCTTAACATTTCATTCCCCCAGAGCCCAGCACCCTGGGGGATTTGGGGAGGGGAGGAATTACCAGCCCCCAGGGACACTTGCCCAAAAGGGAACAGCTCAAGTCAGTGGGGGAGCCCAGCTCAGGGGCTGGTGGAAGATGGGGGATGGGTACAGGTGTCTAGAGTGAAGGTGGTGCCTGGCCCAAGTGTAATTCTCCTCATCTCCATGGCAGGGGGATCCTGGCTTGGAGGGGAAGGGAGAGTGGGGGACTTCAACCCCCAATGTTTACCTAGAGCAGTTACAATGTTTACCTGCAATCAGGGCCGGCTCTAGGTTTTTTGCTGCCCCAAGCAAAAAAATTTTTGGCTGCTCCCCCCGCGCTTTTTTTTTTGCTTTTACACGTTTGCACTTTGCAGTTTTGTTTTGACTGTTTAAAATTTAAAAAAAATGAAAACAGAGAATTTGTAGTTAGTGAAATAAAACAATTTCCTACTAGTGTAATTTTAACATTTAATTTTAACAAAAACACAATAACAAACAATTTGAGTTCAACTATACACTGTAATGAAAAACGTTAGTGTCTTCCAGTTTCTCGTAAATTAAAAGAATGTATATGAACTGAATTTTTCTGGTTTTTATACTTGCGTAGTCTTTTAATAAGTCAGTGAAATCTAAATTTTTTGCAATAGTACATTCAATTGAAATTAATGCCAGTCCTGACATACGATTTTGAGTCATGGTGGACCTCAAATAATTTTTTAGTAATTTCAGTTTTGAGAAACTGCGCTCATCAGAAGCCACTGATACTGGTAATGTTAAAAGAATGCGTAATGCTATAGCAGTGTTTGGACTGAAAAAATCATTTCTTGCTATAAATTCTAATACTTTTAGAGGAGAAGTTTTAGGACTTATTAGCTCAGATAAAGCTATTAATTCATCATACAATTCTACTGCATCAATGTCAGCAGCGTTATCAGTACTGAGCGCTAAATGTAGGTCTTGGCACTGCTTCATGAGGTCTTCTTTGGAAAACTGATTTTTAATATTTCCAATATCGTATAAAAATTCAAAAGTTTCACAATGACCATGCAACTGACAAAATCTTTCTTCAGTGGAAGTTATAGCTACATCCAAAATACAATAGAAACATTCAACTCTAAACCATTCGTGTGGATCGAGAATAGGATCATCATGAGCCTCATAACAAAACTGTCTTGTTTTTTTCCGAGGACGAATGAATTGTTGAGGTGCAAACGTTGGTTCAAAATCAAGATCCTCTGCTATTGTTGTTGCTTCTTTGACAGTTTCTTCAAATCCTTCATCTGAATGGTATTTTTTTAAATATTCGAGCGTTTTATTCAAAATCATCTTTGCCTCGGATATGTCTATGGTTCTGTTCTGCATAACTTTGCTGGTCAAATTAATTTGATTTAGAATATTGTGCCAAATAACCGTGCAACATGAAAATTGAAACTGCATCATTTTCTGAGCCAATGTTTCAGCTTCATGTCGAAATGAAGGATCATACGACAAGTCCTGGCTTATTTCGAATAGTGCATCGTAAATCTCTCCTGATGAATATCAGAATGGTCTAATAGCTTCTATCCTGCTTTCCCATCTAGTTTGACTCAGAGGTTTAAGTGTGAGTTTTTGTTCAAGATGCTTCTTCAAGACTGCCCAACGGTGTGTGGAAGCACTAAAAAAGTTGTAAATTGCTTGCACTGTTGTAAAATATGAAACGGCATCTTTAGATGATTTGGCAGCATCACTGACAACCAGATTGAGCGAATGCGCATGGCAAGGAATGAAAAAAGCTCGATTGTTTAAATTCAATATTCTTTGCTGTACACCTGCATGTCGTCCTCGCATGTTTGAGCCGTTATCGTACCCTTGGCCGCGCATATTTTCTAAAGGTATTCCATAGTGTTCCAGTCTCTGTAGAATTACATCTGTGAGGGCTTTCCCAGTAGTTTCGTTCACTGGTATAAATTCTAGAAAGTGTTTACAAATTTTCACTTCTGCATTTTCATCAATTTTCAGAAATCGTAAAACTATTGACATTTGCTCAGTTTTGCTCAGATCTTGAGTACAATCAACTATAATTGAGTAATATTTGGCATGTTTCAAATTCGATAAAATTTCATTATGCACTCCATTAGAAATTAATTCTATTATCTCATTTTGGGTATTTTTACCCAAATAATGGGTGTGAATCTCTCCATCTTTCACTCTTCGTACATGCTCAGCCATAACATTATCAAATTTTGCCAATAACTCAACCAATTTTAAGAAATTTCCATTGTTATTCTCATATAAAATATCCGAGGCTCCACGGAATGCGAGGCACTGTTCGGCTAGGAAATTAATGATTGCCAGTAAACGTTCCAACACTGCTTGCCAACGTAGAATTTCTGAATTTAGTTGACGTTGCTGTACCGCATCAATTGTTGTACCGGTACGTAATCTGTTTGACAGCTCAATCCAATTTGTCAATGAGCGTAAATGATTTTTTGATGTTTCATGTTCTTTCAAATGCTGATGCAAATTTCGCCAGTCATTAAAACCTGCAGTTGCCAGAAAAATGTCCGAGTTACAGAACAGTTTGCAGCAAAAACAAAAAACTACATCTTTGGTCTGTGAATACACTAACCACGATCTATTAATTTGTTCCCCATTTTTCATTTTTTTCTTCATACTGGATGGCATAAATCGACGATTTGACTCATTAAATGGATATTCAAATGTAGGATCTAGTTTTGAAGGACCTTTTCTCACAATAATAATTTGCATTGTATCAGTAATTATTGTCGTCCATGTAC